TCACACCATCCTCTGAAGGGGTTACCCAAATTGCCGACAGGGAATCAGGACGCAGACCACTCTGGCTTGTTCCATGCTGAACAGGGACACAGGGTGAGGCAATTGGAGCACCCCTTCAGTGGGTCTATCTGAAAGACTCCCAAATTGCATAAGTCTTATCTCTAGGGGGAAAAGAAAGTCCTTGACTGGTGAATAGGAGATGTGAAGGAGAAGTAAGGGCAAGAATAATTAGCATTACAAGTTCTAGACAAAGAACTAGAAGAAAGAACACGGCAAATTTCAGATGTTCATATGAGAGTCCATTGGAATTTCTTGACAAGGGCTTCCAAAAGCATCCCTCTATTGGTTCCTCTTCATTTTTCTTTTGTCTGCCAAGGCTGGACTCCAGAGTGATGGATTCAGGATTTGCTTTCAGGTATTTTGATAGCTGTTAGAGTAGTTAGAGACAGAATCAGTGTCAGTTCCCTCTCAAAGGCTTCTAAATAGGGGGAGGAAACAAATTTATCCATCATTTAAGAACAATAGCTGGTTGTCTCCCCTAGGGGCCCTTCTTAAAAATTCTTCCAGCTAGTGGCCTCATTGGTGCTTGAGATGAAGTCAACCTGCATTCCTACTCTGGTGACCAGATTTGCCTTCTCATCACCATTTGGAAGTAGAGGCCTTGCTGAGGCTCATCATTTGCCCCTTGTGACGGTCCTGACTTCAGCCCTTGGGTACCTCCAGTGGTGACCCCCAGAGACTGCTGCAGCCCTTGCTGGGTATGCTGGGGGAATTGCCTCAAGGCCTCATATTGCAGTTATCCTTTTTCGTCTCTGGATTAGTAAAAACGGAGAGAGCGACACATTCTCGGACAGTAGAAGGTGAGTGTGTTCAAAGTCAGGGTTTTCATAAGATGTCCCTGCCTCCATTTTTAAGTTCCTTGCCACTGCTTTTCCCAGCTTTTCTTGGAGCAGATGGATTTCCCAGTGTCCTGTCCCCTGATGTCTACTAGGGACAGAGTGAGGGGCAATAGTGACAGCAGTGGACATGGTGTGTTCTTGGGACAGTTTGGATAAGTGTCATCTCCTGTCCATTGCAACATCTCTGTCTCAGCATCTCCTCCCTCGTTCCTTTCAACTCCTTCCGTGAACTACTGCATCACAACGAATGGGCCTCCATCCACATGGTGACTCAGACCAAAGACCAGATGTCTCCCTTCTGCCCCCACATTTGACACTGGGCTTGTCTTTCCTGACTGCCCCACTTCTCTCCTCATTGACCACCATATTCTAAACTGCTACCCACTCACTTGCCTGCCTGAATCCTTTTCTGATTGGAGTTGCTCTGTGCTCTTCCTAGGAGGCACCTGCTGGGAGCATGTCAGGTTTAGGAACCCTCCGACACTCCCCCTTGTTCTTGGCCTGGCTTGGTCATATTACCTGCCTTTCAGAGAATATGGCTGTTGTCAGGGAAAATTCCCATGTGTTACCTGATTGTGAGGGTTCTAATCACATGGATATACCCTCTCTAAACTCTGCAGTTTCCTTTGAATTGACAGTCTCACTCTGGCCCCAGCCTCCTACTAATATATCCAGTGAATAAAAGATTTCAAAACGTGAACAAAACTTCCAGTTTTTTCTTCTCTTCCTAAAGATGAGGAAACGACTGAAACTTAGAAAAGAAATACATTGTAAAGGACACAGCGTTAGGCAAAGAGATTAAGACAATTCCACTTGCTTTAGTTTGAATAAAATACAATTTTAAAAAAGTAGACATAGAAGGGGCTGGAGAGATGGCTCAGCAGTTAGGAGCACTGACTGCTATTACAGAGGACCCCGGTTTGATTCCCAGCACCCACATGGCAGCTAACAACTGTCTGTAACTCCATTTCCTCCTCGGGCATTGCATGACATGGGTGTACTTACCTACGTGCAAGCAATACACACATACATATAAAAATAATAAATAAAATATTTAAAAAAGAATACATATTTAGCATACAGTAAGAAATTATGTTTGCCTAGATATGACAAATTCAGGCTTTTCTTTGGGATCTATGACCGCTCCAGCCAT